TGGGCCTCAGTGTCCTCTATAAAAAATTTAAACTGCAATGTGCTTTCCACTTAGGGAGGATGAGACAATCAAATAGACATAAAGCAGTCAGAGGGCTTGGCACTTAGAGACAGGTAAATATAATCTACTATTATATTACTGGGGTTCAGACCCAGATCACTGACCCCTGAGCACAAGGGTTTAATGACCACATGGTGCCACTCAAATTTTGCCTCTCCAGGCAGCACGCCCTCTTCCCCGGCCCCCTGCTCAGCACCCTCTCCCACTCCGAGCTCCATAGCACTCATGGCCTGTCTTGTCTCTTAAATGTCATGTCTGCATTACCAGCGGCCCCGTGTGGTGGGAAAGCACAAGACCCATGACCTGTGCTTGGTCCTTGTTCGATGAGGCAGTTCAGTCAGCTGCTATTAACCCCCCACTGCTCATTCACTTAGCGGGGGTTCATTTCATTTGACAACTATGTGTTCATACCTGCAATGTGCCAAGCAGTATTTGAGGAACTAGGGATTCAAAGGGTGAATAAAAACTGACACATTGGGCTTCCCTGGTGGCGCAGTGGTTGAGAGTCCGCCTGCCGATGCAGGGGACACGGGTTCGTGCCCCGGTCTGGGAAGATCCCACATGCCGCGGAGCGGCTGGGCCCGTGAGCCTTGGCCGCCGAGCCTGCGTGTCCAGAGCCTGTCTGTGCTCCGCGACGGGAGAGGCCACAACAGTGAGAGGCCCGCGTACCGCAAAAAAAAAAAACAAAAAAAACCTGACACATCCCCTACACTCATGGGGCTCAGAGTCTGATATGGGACACAACCATTCATCAAATGGAAGGTGATAACTACAACCAGTGGTGACAGAGGGACACAGGGCTGTGAGAGTGCACAGCATGGGAATTTGAAGTGATGCTTGGGTTAAAGTATCAGAAGTGTCAATAAATGAGAAAAGAGTGCTCTGGCATATGCAAAGGCCCTGTGGCAGCGATGGGACAGAGTGACAGAGGGCAGAGCTCAGACAGGGAGGAGACTGGAGGGGTCTGAAGGATCCAGATCCTGTACAGGGGACTTGCTGACCATCATAAGTTCTAGTCTGAAGTAGTCTTGAGGTTTTTAAAGATTGCTGGAGCTGCTGTGGAGAAGGGTTGCAGTGGCCCAGAGTAGAGGCAGCCTTGACCTGTTAGGAAGCTATTGCAGCATCCAGGTGAGAGAAGACAGAAGCCTGGACCTGAACGAGGATGGGGAGGATGAGAGAGGTTAGTAAGAAAATGTATAAGACGTGAAGGTAAATCTGAAAGGGCTTGATGATGGGGGCGGAGGACTGGTGACAGGCGGTGACTTTAGGTTTCTGGCCTCAGAGGCTATGTGAGTGGCAGTGACATTTCCTGCAATGGGGAACACTGGAAGAGACCAGATTCTGTGAAGTGCTAGGGCATGACAAAGCCCAAGACACTGCCTGGGCCCTCAAGAGGGGGAAAGCAGACATAATAACAACGACGATGGTGATAACAGTAGCTAATGGAGTGCAGGATTGGAACCGAGCAGTCTGGCTCCAGAGCCTCTGTTGTAACACCCTCTACTCTACAGCCATCATGCCATCATCTTTATTTTCTAAGTGCCTACTAGGTGCTAAGAACTGTGCTAGGCCCTGGGATGTCAGCTCTGAACAAGAAAAACAGTAGCCCTGCCTGGCCGAGCTCCCTGCTGGCTCAAGATGCACCAGCCCACAGAGGCAAATGCTGGCACGCTGACCTCCCAGTGGCCTCCCACCCTGCTCTCACAGAGCTTAGGATCTGGGGGTTAGATGGGTCACAAACAAGACAGTTTCAGCTGGTGGTTATTCTGTGAAGAAGGTTAAAGAGGGTAAGTGAGACAATTCCTGGGGTTGGGGGGAAAGGGATAATCTTAGAGTGGCGACATTTAAACTGACATGATAGTAAAATTGCATAATCACACAGTTAATAGTTCAGAACCCCAGCAGGGAGCAGGGGTGGGAGTGAACAAACTGTATGAGGTAGATTTTTTTTTTAATTGAAACATTTGACATAAGTGCTTGAAGTGTTTGATGGTTTGGGTTTTGAAGTATAAATAGGAGTTCACCAGGCAGACTGGGTTAGGAAGTCATTCTAGAGAGAAGCATGAATATGAGCAGAGGCAAGTAATGCTATGCGACGTGTGTGTGTAGAACACAAGCTCTTTGGTATCTCTAAAGTATAGTTCATAAGCTCCATGTGGGCTCAGGCCTATATTGTTTCCTTTTTGTCTCTAGTGTTTAGCATGTAGCTTAAGATTAATGAATTTTTACTGAATGAATAAACGCATGAAGAAATGAACAAATGAATGAGCTAGTGTTGATAGGAGAGGCAGCAAAGAGAGAAGGACATAGTATAAATCAGTGTTGTTCAATATAAATGAGCCACATATGTAATTTTAAATGTTCTAGTAGCCACGTTAAAAAAGTAAATAGAAACATTACATTTTGATAATATATTTTATTTAACCTTGTATATCCCAATATTATCAAACATCTAATCAATATTTAAAAACTACTGAGGTATTTCACACTCTTTCATTTTGTGCTACGTCTCTGAGTTCCCGCAGGTATGTTACACATACAACACATCTCAATTCAGACCAACCACATTTCAAGGACTCCATAGCCGCATGTGGCTACCATATTGGCGAGCACAGGTCTAAATGCTGCTGGGCAGTAAAAGGCCTGCTGAGGGGTTTGGACTTCATTCGCCTTAGCTGGTGAGAGACCACTGAAGGTCTAGGCAGAGGTCAGCACGGTCAGATTTGTTGCTAGAAAGCTCTCTGGGGTAGCTGTGCAGCCGATAGGCTTTGAGACAGAGAGTCCCTTTCCATCCTCTCCACTCTGGCATGGAAAGGTCACACTCAGGGCACACTCCATTCCCCCTGGCTGTGGTGTGACTGGTGTGGAGACGGGCACCCTGTCCCCAACTAAGAATCTCCCTCCTTTGGCAAACGTCAGAGCCCGAGGTCCCCGGCCCGCGAGCAGCTACATCCTGCTCTGTGACTCTGAGCTTCTCTTTCCCGAGGCAGGCAGTGCTCCCTGAACAGCACGGCATCTGCTGTGGTTTGTAGCTAAACAGACAATGGCTCTGGGCAGTTTGGAGAGAAAATGAAGTACCTATTAGCGTGTTTTGCAGTAGCCCCGCCTGGCCAAGCGCCTTGCTGGCTCAAGACACACTGGCCTGTGGAGGCAAATGCTGGCACGCTGGCCCCCGCCCTTGCCCCTGCTCAGCCCACCACCCCCCGGGGTACCCAGGTGCCCCTGGCACGCTCAGTCCCTGGCACACCCACTCCCTTCCCCACAATGCTCTCCTGCTCACTTTCGTATTTCCTTGGATCCTGGACTCACACTTGCCCTGCGTGTTCCGCACACCCTCAAAGCCTGCTTCATGTTCCCTCTGACTCTTCAAGGAGGCCGGGGTGGGTGCTGGGAGGCCCCTGGTTGGGGAAGCAGAAGACTGGGTCCCAAGCCTGCTCTGGTAGCTCTGTGAGTGGGTGAGTTACTCGGCCTCTCTGAGCCTCAGTTTCCTTGGGTGTAAAGCGGAATGGGTGTGACGTGGGGTAAATGAGATTATGAACGTGAAGCCCCAAGCACAGTGCTAGACACAGAGGAGGTCCCAAAAGGGAGTGGTGGTGACCGTGAGTGGTAAGTGCCCATCGTCCCCCACCCCAGTTCCTTGAGAGCCAGGCCGGCTTACACACCCAGGGCCCCTGGATTCTCCCTGCCTCCACACCTGCCATGCTGATGGGGCCCATCATCCTCGCGTGACAGGGCTCGGACTGCATTGACACTGGAAGATTTGGCAAAACTGGAGGACCGTGGGCTCAGCTCTGGGGTGGGAGGCATCAGTGATCCACGGGAGATTCTTCAGAGACGGCACTGGGGGCTCTGCCCAGGACAGGTCAGCACTGAGAAGACCCTGATCCGACATCAGGCCGACTTCTCCGCCAGGCACAGCAGACACAAGGCCCACAAGACGTTCAAGGGCCCCTGAAATGTTTTATTTTCTTTTAAAATCGGCGGGGGCGGGGAGGGGAATCCCATTTTAGGGCAGAAGAAAATGTTTCCATTTTTTTCTCACATCAGAAAAAATAAACTGTTTAGAGCCCATGAAACTTTATTATGGTGAAAGCAGCCCTGCGGCCACACTGCGGCCCTGGCCAATTCTTCATTCATTCAAATGCATTTTTGGGACAGGGTACGTCCCATCTGCTCTTTTTTGTTCCTTATGATCTTGTCTGGCTGCACACACATCTTTTTTTCCCTGAGATGAGGAAGATGAGGCTCATGGAGGGTAAATAAATTGCCTATAACTTAGAGGTGACAGAGGTGTGATTTGAACCCAGGTCCACCTGAGTCCAAACTCGTTTCTTCCCTAGACCACGCTATTTGCAGGTTCATTATCTGATTTGATTTACAGCATAAGGACAGGATAACCAGCTTTTTTTTTTTTTGCCTCACTGCGCGGCTTATGGGATTTTAGTTCCTTGACCAGGGATTGAACCCGTACCCTCGGCAGTGAAAGCACGGAGTCCTAACCACTGGACCACCGGGGAATTCCCAGCCCCATTTTAAAGCTGAGGAGACTGAGGCCTGGAGGAGAAGGGAGCATCTTGTTCACGAGTCCCTTCCTCCCAGTCAGTGAGGGTGGGGAACCAGCCCCTCCTTCTGAACCCTCCCTACTGCCTCTGCCCTGTCCAAAGCCCTTCCTGTGCCCCACACACACTGTCCCCACCCTCTGCCCTCCCTGTGGCCACGCCCTGGGAGGCCACCCTGCACACGTGTCTCCCCTGCCCTTCTTTCCCACCTTCCGCCTTTTGGCCGGTTTCCCAGCCCTTAGAGGGGCTGCTCAGGTCTGCACAGCATCCACATCCCACCTCCTAGCAAAGCTGGGGGCTGGCGCTGCCACCTGAGAGGGAGGGAGGAGAGAGAGTGCGAAGGTTTAGACGAAACCGTGGGTCTCCCAGACAAACGCCCCTCTGTATCTCGGGGCCTGTTGTGACTGGCTGCGGGCCAGCTCTCCCCACGGGCAGCTTGAATGGCCGGGATTGTTCCCCCGCCTCCTGTCCTGTCTGCCGCCCAGCGCCTGCCGCCCAGCGCCTGCCAGGCCCCAGCTCGGGCAGGAAAGGGGAGGGCTGTTCCTTCTGGAATGGAAGGTGTAGGAGGCAGGCGAGCCTTGGGGAGGGTGAGGGGCCACGTCCTGAACCAAACTGGGAGGCGGGAGAGTCACACAAGGGAAGGAGCGTGAGAGGGAGGTCACCGATCCCCGCCGTGCACTTTGCAAGAGAGCAAGCTGAAGTCCAGACAGAACAAGTGACTTGCCCAAGGTCACACGGCAAGCAAGTAACAGAGGTAAGACTCGAACCCTGGGCTCCTAACTTCCAGCCCAGGGTTCTTGCTGCCCCCTACATCAGACCTCCCTCTCAGGGTTTTGGTGGTGACCCTGCTGAACAGGTGATGTAATGAGCTCCATAGCCCGGGACACCGAGACGCAAAGAAAGAACGTCACGTGATAAGCTTACACAGAACTAGGTTCCCTCGAATTCTGTAGTAAAGTGCAGATGCTCCAGACAGAGTTTACATCCTTAACTCATTCATTACAAAGACCTTGAGGTTAACCAAGCCCTTGGAAAAGGAGGAGGGAGAGGCAGAGAATCAAAGCGAGGCCCCTGAAAGGTCAGCGTTAGGGGTAAACTCAGATGATTGGATTTTGTAGGACGGCATTTGCCTGGGTTCTTTAAAAAAAATAATAATAAGGAGTTAGCCAGGGGCACTGGGGGTCAGGGCACCTGGTTCCAAGGAGACTTGGTTTTTTTCCCTGCACTCCCACCCCCAATTTTTTTTCTTCCAGAGGTTCACAGTGGCCTGTCCATGGTGTATACAACTCAGGTACATCTCTATGTTCTTGCTTTCATAGGTGGCAACGAGAAGTAACTCAGAAACCTCAGTTGGTGTGTTTTAGAAACTTAGTGCAGTTACCAAGCAGGGTGGTTGAGGGCAAAGCTGAGGGGGAAACGTAGGGCCCGGTGGCACCTCATTGTGCTCACGGGCCAGAGTCCCTTCAGGTTGTCTTTGGTTCTTGCTGTTGTTATTACTGATCTTGTCTTGAATGAATCAGAAAGGAGTTCTGGAAAACGTACCAAATGAACTACCAATGAACCTTCCCGTCTGTGTGCCCTGGGCATCCCCGCCGGCCCTCAGCTTCCCCGTTTGTAAGGAGAAGGTGTGGGACTCAGCAGTTTTCAGTCTGGCTTCCACCAAATCCTCTGATCACAGGAGTTGCCTCCTAGGGCCATCGCAGAGGGTGTGTGGAGTGAAAGAGAAATTGTCGGGGGAGGAGTAGAAGGGAGCAGCTTAGCTCCTTAAACCTTTTGGAGGAGCTGAATTTTCCATCTTAAGTTCATCCCCCAAACTCTCCAACGGAAGCGTAGATCTCCTTTCACTCTGGACAGACACATAGAAAGTCTACCAGTTTCACTTTTTCCTGGCTGGCAGAATCCCCCTGCACCTCCCTCCTCCCCCTAGTTGGACTGGCTACCCCCAGGCTGCTGCGGGGCGCCGCCCTGGGCACTCCTCGATCCCTGGGTCCCTTGAGCTTCTCATGTTCATTCACTCCTCCACGTTAGTGGGGCACGTCCTCCAGGAGCATCCCAGGAAAAGGTGCATGGGGTGGGGTGGATTTTTTGTGAAGCTTCCTATGTCCCAAAATGTAGTTCTTCTACCCTTACTCTTGATATTTAGTTTGGCTTCTGTCCACTTCTAGGCTGGAGGTTATTTTCCCTCAGAACTTTGGAGAGCTATCTCAGAGCTTCCCTGCTGCTGCTGTCAAATCCACTGCTGTTCTGGTTTCATCTGAGTGTTCATCCTTTTATTGGTATTTGACCTTTTTTTGTTGTTGTTATCTATAGATGTGTGTGGGATATTCTCTTTAGGCCCTGTGTTCTGAAAGGTCATGATGATGACTCATCTTTTTTATTCATTTTTCTGGGGACTCCGTGAGTCTTCTCATTCTAAAAATTCATATCCTTCATTTCCAGGAAATTTCCAGGTATTCTTTGATAATTTCCTCCCCTTGATTTTTTCTGCTTAATCTCTTCTTGAATTCTTATCATTAGAATGTTGGACCTCCTGGAGTAATTTGTTTTTGCCCCTTTTCTCTCCCAATCTTTATTTGTTCCACTTTATGAGACATTTCTTCAACTATCTTCCAATAATTCTATAGAATTTTTAAATTTCTTTTATCACATTTTAAATATCCTAACACTCTTTCTCGTTCTTGGAATATTCTTTTCTTATAGCATTCTGTTCTTGTTTTATTAATGTAGTATCTCATCTCTCTGAGGATGTCGAAGTTTTCTTTTGCCCTTTGAAGGGCCCTTCTGCCCTTCTGTCTCTGTTTGCTTTAAACGCCTCCCTCTGTTCATTTGTTTGCTGTCTGTTCGTCGTGTTTGAGGCTTGTACCCTCAGAGGTCTGTTGACCCTTAGCTATCTGTTCCTATTTAAGACTAAGCCACTAGAAAACTCGTTGAATAAAAAAAGTTCAGGGGAAGCTCTGGGTGTGGGGGCCGGCTTATCAGCTAGTGGCCTCCCCATTGGCTGATTGGCAGGAACCTGGTCATTTCATTGGAGGATCGTGTAACATCAGTCAGTATCTGTCAACCGTTCTCTTTAGCTGGTCAGTCTCCCAAGAGCCTCTAATTTCCTGCCTGGAGGTTGAGCCCAGTGGCCCAGGGGGTTAAAGGGGCTAGATGAGCCCCACAATGCAGGACTTTACCTCAACACCATTTTTCAGCCAGAGATTAACCACCACCTTCCTTTTCCTTAAGTCTCAAAGTCAAATGTGCCTATGAATCACCTGGGAATCTGGCTAAATAAAAGGCACGTTCCCATTCAGCAGGTCTGAATGGAGCCTGAGATTCTGCCTTCCGAGCAGGGTCGGAGGGTTGCCAGCGCTGCTGATCCAAGGACCGCACTTTGGATGGTCAGCGTCTAGAGCCCTGCCATCCAGTGGAACTTTACGCAGTGGTGGACACGTGCTAGACCCACACTGATCAATACAGGAGCCACAAGCCCCAGTGGATGTTAGCGCTTGAAATGTGGCTCGTGCGACTGAGGCACTGAGCTTTTAATTTTATTTAATTTTCCTTAATTTCATTTAAATTTAGATGGCCAGAGGTTTGAGCCTCGGCCTTTGCCAGGCTGCCAAGTCACACTCAGCCATCAGCTTTTCCAGCGTTCAAACCTTGACTGGCCTCTCTCCAATGTGGTTGTCGTCTCTCCTTTCTCTTTGGCCTTATGGATCCATACGTCTGAATTCCTTTACTGTCATTCATGGGGGATTTCAGAAGGAAGCAGAGATGAAGACTTGTGTTCCATCTGCTCTTTTGGACCAGAATTCCCTCCTGCATTTTTAATTTTTATTTTATTTTTTAAATAAATTTATTTATTTATTTTGGGGTGTGTTGGGTCTTTGTTTCTGGGCGAGGGCTTTCTCCAGTTGCGGCGAGCGGGGGCTACTCTTCATTGCGGTGCGTGGGCCTCTCACTGTCGCGGCCTCTCTTGTTGAGGAGCACAGGCTCCAGACGCGCAGGCTCAGTATTTGTGGCTCCGCGGCATGTGGGATCTTCCCAGACCAGGGCTCGAACCCATGTCCCCTGCACTGGCAGGCAGATTCTCAACCACTGCGCCACCAGGGAAGCCCCCTCCTGCATTTTTTAAAAGACAAAGATAGATCCCACACTTTGTTTCTCCCAGGATGAAGCAAACCAGAGTTTGTCCTTCTTACCTGTCATCTTCCTCTGGGCCCAGAGAAACCATCTCTGAGTCACTGCAGAGCCTGAGAGCTACTGGAGGAGGTAGAAGTCTCTGCCTGTCTGGGGGGAGAGCGCTGCTCACCCACTCGGTGTGGTTTCTCTATTCTGTAAAGGGAGGGGTGGGCTCATGGAGGGGCCAGGCAGCCAAAGGACATCCTTGCAAACCAGAGCTGGTCAGGGAGTGGACTTATAAAACTAAAGACATTCTAAGCCCTTGGCAGGGAGGAGATTTGTCTGTTCAGGCAGGACAGGGTAGGGGAGGCAGGAGTGGATTAAGTACAAACCTTGGGGTCTGACAGATTAGAGTCTGAATCCTATATATTAGCTCCCTCAGCAGGGAGGAGATTTGGACAGGAAAAATTGAGAATGGTCACCATTTAATTGTGCGAATAAAGCCCACCGATGGGACCGAATCCTGGCAGGCAAGGGCTGGAGTAGGGTGGTCCTTCAGGACAGGATAAACTGCAGATGTATTCGTAGTTAGTTTGGAAGTAGGTGCTGAGACATGTGAAATCAGCTCGTGCAGCAGGGATGGAATCAGGCCTGCCCCGTTGCCTCCTGAGCCCACGCCCCACACCCCTACCTAGCTGGCCCAGTGTCTTCAGGATCCCTTCTCTGCTCCTCTTACAGCACCAGCACCTCTCACGTACTACCTCCTGATGTGTGCTCATGACCACCACTCCCTGAACGTGTCTGGTCAACCTCCGCATTCCCCACAGCACCTGGCCTGTGGGATGTGTCTGTTCAGGCAGGGCAGGGGAAGCAGGTGTGGTTTGAATACAAACCTTGGGGTCCAACAGATAAGAGTCTGAATCCTATATATGAGGCAGAGTAATGCCCCCTCAAAGATAGCCACATCCTAATCCCCCAAACCTGTGCCTATGTTACCTTGCGTGGCGAAAGGGACTTTGCAGATGTGGTTAAGTTAAGGATTTTGAGATGGGGGATTACCCTGAGTTACCTGGGCGGGTCCAGTGTAATCACAAGGGTCCTTATAGGAGAGAGGCTGGAGAATCAGAGAGAGAGAAAGAGATGTGAGGTTGGGAGCAGAGGTCAGAGAGAGAGATAAGAAGATGCTACAATGGGGACTTCCCTGGTGGTCCAGTGGTAAAGAATCCACCTTCCAATGCAGGGGACGCAGGTTCGATCCCTGGTGGGGGAGCTAAGATCCCACATGCCGTGGGGCAACTAAGCCCGCGCGCCACAACTACTGAGCTCACGCCCCTCAACGAGAGAGCCCACGTGCCGCAAACTACAGAGCCCACATGCCCTGGAGCCCACGCGCCACAGCTAGAGAGAAGCCCATGCGCCTCAACAAAGATCCTGTGTGCCACAACTAAGACCCGATGCAGCCAAAAAAATAATAATAATAGTTAAAAAAAAAAAGAAGAAGAAGATGCTACACTGTTAGCTTGAAGAGGGAGGTAGGGGCCACAGGCCAGGGAATGCAGGTGGCCCACAGAAGGTAGAAAAGGCAAGGAGACAGAGTCTTCTCTAGGGCCTTGAATGGAGCATGGCCCTGCCAACGTTTTGAGTTTA